GTACAAGACCACAACCAAGCCAACTAGCAATAGCTGATAAATTGGCACATCAACCTTTGGTCAATATAAGGTAACGTCTGGCTCCAAAACACCAACATGACAGAGGCCAAAACAATAAATGTCACCAGCTGCACTCCCAGATGGCAGAGTTGGAGGTCATCTGAACTTTGCAAGTGAATCAGATGAATGATATCGAGAACAGCCACAACACTGACCTGGCCACTGAGTCGGCTGGTAGACGATAAAGACCTCCCCAATAGCTAATCATACTACATAACCGTAATGAACTGATAAACAGACAACTTCCTGTTTTTTCATTAACTACTCTAAAACTTTAAGGGACAATCTGAGTAAAGAGCTACCAGAACCTTTTCTGTATTTTTTGCACATTTATTTCTGACAATTTAAACCCAAACAGTTGCGCTGATCACAGTGTTTCTTTACTATGCAGAAAAAAGTTACTTCTTATATTAAGATATCAAAGGGACTAAATGTGTAGTTAAATGTCTTCACTATAACAGAAAGGAGAGTTTCTCTGGTCTGGCCCACTTAAGACCAAAGTGGGCTGTATGTGGGCCATGATATAAAATTAATTTAAGATGCCATTATATCCATTTTTTTTTTTTAAATCAATTCAAACTGAAAAGATTTTTTAAAAATGCATTAATTAGCATTAGTTTTCATTTTCAGTTTCAAAAAGTTTCACTGAATGATTCACAGATGCTGCTAAAGGATAAAATTCTTAATAATGTGTGAGAAAATCATTTTCGAAGAGGGACCCAAAACTACTTCTACTTGGTTTTTATTCAGAAGGACACAAATATAAATACAAATAACAAAGCTGAGCAACATTAATAAGTCTCAGTTTTTGCATACCAAAAAGCTAAAAGTCTAGGGGGAATAACGCCTAAACCAAATGCTTATGAGTGCATAAGACAAATATGAAACCTCCCTTTAAAAATACAAATATATACCAAAGCCTGAAGATGATGTACTTGAAAAGATTTCGGGACCTTTACTGAGTTTTTTGGAGGATTTGAATCTAACAATAAGTCAGTCAGACTAGTTAGTTGTTCTAAACCATACATGTTTTGTTGCATTGTCTTTTTTCTGAATTTCGCTTCTCTTTTTTTGAGGATCTGGGTACCGAGTTGATTACAAGGAGCAAAATCTTTTTGGGATTCTTTTTAGTCCAGTTATTTAATGTTCATAAGACTGATTTACCATAACTTAAAAGAAATAAATATACATATTCTAGAAAAAACAAGTCTTTCACTGTATCTGACATGCTAACATAGGATTTGTATAAGGACTATAGATTACTCACAGCTGTCTTTAGCACGCAGGTGTCCTCTCCGAGATAACAGAGCTCTCCTGAGCAGCTCGTCTCCATCCACAGGTGATCCCCATTCACTGCGTTCTCCTACGGAGAAGCAGACAAGAGAGAGAAAATGAGCGGGGAATAATCATAAAATTAGTCAACATTGTCTCACTCACATTTAACTGCAACCATATGGACATGAGCACATGGCAGCGAATGAGGTCAACAAGTGTGTCAAGCACATAACTGCCACTGCTGAGTAGGTGGGTAACTTCACAGTGCATGTTAATTTAAACACTACTGATTCATGTGCAAACACACTCCTACATGGAGTAATACATGTCAGTGTATATGCATACAAAGACATTCAAGGTAAATGCATGCAGGCCGAATGTTTGAGTAAAATTGTGTCACCGGGTTTACTGCACAGCTGTGATCACGCTCCCTCAGCTCAGATGTGAATAGTTTTTCTTGCTCATTCATTCAGTAATGGAAAAATGGATTGGAAGACCTTTTGTTTCATTTGCTAATTATATAATTAACTTGTATTTGTTTAATTATCTTAATTTTGCACTTTTCCTCTCTCTTTTGTGCTTTTTTTGCAACATAAGAAAAAGCCTGATTGTATTTCCTAATAACAGTATGTTGTATGTATATGACAACTTTAACTTAATTTATCAGCTTGGCAACTATCTTACAAAATAAAAGTAAATAATTACTTTTTTTACTGGTTCACACTAGTTTCAAATATAAAATATATGGAATCTAATAATGTATAGGTCTGGATGTGGCTTTGTATGTGTATATCTATCTGGGACAACGCCTGGCTGAAATGGGAGGGTAATAAGATGACTCAGCTCAGTAGGACTTTGAGAATATAAAAGCTGGCCCAGAAAACCGGGAAGTAAAAATAATAATTAATAGGGCAAATCTCTGCCGTGGGGTCCCTCCATGTCAACATAACATTGGGGATTGACTAGGGTGACCAGATGTCCCTCTTCATGTGGGACTGCATGGCATTTTTATCCCTTGTCTCGAGATAATGTCCCACATTTTGACTGGTAGTTTGCAGGGTAGTTTGGGCCTGGAAGCAGGATTCGTCACGTCAGCACTTAAAGACTGGATTAACTGCAAATGCCCCAACATCTTTAAAAGCACTTTAAAATAACAATTTAATTAAAAAGAATCAGTCACTTAATTTTTTTTTAAACCCAAACAAACTTCCAAGGGTTAACGGGAAGAACAAAAAATCCGAACGTCCCGCAACCTTTAAGAAAGAAATAATGTGGGTTTTGTTGTCATATTGCAGCACTTTTTTCATAAAGTCACAATAATTAGTGACAAACTAGACAAAGAACTTGACAGAGATAAGACATGGCCAAATCTGTTCCCAATTTCTCTCCGTTTGTCACTTACAAGCAGAATTGCTTCCCCCGTAACTCAATGTTCCACAGTAAATCAATTTGAATGGACATTTGTTTAAATTTCCACTTCCTGTTACACATCTTCTACCAGTGTTCTGGCCCTGCTGGGAATATGGACAAACCCTTTTGGACTTATTAGCACCTAAAAGCAGACCTTAAAGGTCTCAATGAATCGACCCCTGAGTGTATATTAATGAGTGCCTGAGCACAGTGATAATATATGAGTGAGTGCATGAGAGCCGTGCAGAGAGATAAAGGGCAGCAATGACGTGCTGGAAGTGTCCCTACAGACGGAGCCCAAGGGAAATCTCAGATGTGAGCCCACAACTGTTTATCTACTTACACCTTCCTATTAATAATAAAGCACATTGCATTTGCTTTTCATTATTGATGCATGAATCATTTAGAGCACAGCTGTCAAACAAATGGAGCGTGGGACAGAAATGGCCCGCCAAAGGTTTCGATCCGGCCCGCGGGATGGCTTTGCAAATGTGAAAAATGGGGAAAGTGGAAGTCGTAAATGTTGTTCGTTTTTGATGGACAAAAACAAACAAAAAAGAAATTACATAAGAAATTAAGGTGCTTTTGAAATGTTTTGTATCACTGCAGATAAACCAGTTTGTTTTTTACAGTAGGTTCACAGTACAAATATATAAATACATAAAATACAATAAAATCAAATAACTAATGGAGGTAGTGGTACTAACACTAAAGGACAGAGGGTGTTTTTTTTTTTTTAAATATATTTTTACACAACTTTTTCAGATGTCCACCCCATTTAACTCTTTCCCCCATAAAAACAACATATGACGACCTCCCCCGTATCCTTAATGACATGTTTGGACACCTCAGTATACATAGTTTGACAGCCATTAACATAGAGTACCCTCACAAAGCCTCTATGTGGCTGGCAAATTTTCAATAGATATGACTAATTCTATGAAATGCACCTTTTCACCTTTACATATTCTTCTTGAGTTTGAAGCACTTTGATGTCTTTTTCTTGAATTTTGGAGGCTCGTGTGAAAACGCTCTATTATTTTCTTTTCTTTGTCATAGTTTTTTTTTTTTTTTGAATGGCTTTATTGTACTGGCCATAATCTTAAAAAAAAATCTGTTTCAAGTCTGCAAAGTTTTTGCACAAAAGAGTTTATGTAAGTAAAAAGAAAAAAAAACCTTCGGATGATTCATATGATTTTACAGCTTGGACCAGAGTAATCTGATTTTATTAAATAAAACTAAATTGCAATGGAAGATTTGAAAGAAAGAAGGTGATAAACAATTTGAAAGAAAAACAACATGGAAAAGATTTTAAATTATTTCATGATTATAAAAAAATTATCTGCCTGCTTCAGTAATACTATTCAAAACTGTCTCATTGGTCTTTTTGCTTTCAGATTAGGTTCAATTCACATTGTCACCCTGGTGTATCATCAAAAAAACTGCTTCAATTATTTTTATCATTGTTTTAATGCATCTTTGACTGTTTTTGACGATTGTTTACTTGCCGTGCCACACACTGCACAATCTGGTGAATATTGCAGATTCATTGTTTTAATACCTGCTTTCACCAGATCACAAGCTCAGGTTTGGAGTGGCGCAACTGGAGACAGGAAGACGGGACTTTTTAAAAATACATTTATTGGGTTCTTTAACAGCATTTTTGAGAATACTTTCCAATTCATGTTGACATTTCCTTAAGCATTAGCACTACATTTAAAACCCAAAGTGTTTTTAATCTGGTGCTTTTGAGTCGTGATTCATGTTTCTTAAATATAACCTATTAAATGTCGAATAATAAACCGCGTCACAAAGTCGTGACACATAAAAGTTTCTTTCCCACGCTGAGATAGAACGGCATTTTTCTTGTAAGGAATTTAAAAAAGGAAGGAAAATCAAATTACTGCTTTCCATTTCCACATGAACATACGGCTGTTGAAACCAGTCTGCTAACAAATCTGTTGGCATAAAAATGCAAATGTCGACAAGTGAATCAGCCAGACAGAATAGGGACAACACAGACTGGGACCAGGAAAAAAATGTCATCATTGTTCAGATTCACAGTTATATAAAATAAATGTGCATGTGCATTTCTGACCGTCCAGTCCACACAGGTACGTAGTTCCTTGGTGGGGCCGTTGGACGCAGGAGGAAGCGAGGGCTGAGGTGGGCCGAGGTAATGGAGGCCTGAGCGGGAGATCGCTTTCCTAAGAAACGGAAGGAAACACACGGTTATCATTGTCAAGATACTTCATAGTTCTCGGACTTTTCAGTATAATTTAGTACATTATTCATATTAGGAGGCTGCTTTCAAGCGGGCTCAGCTGGAGATATTTGAGGTGAACCAGGAACAGCTTAGCGGAGAGACTGCCAGAGCCACTTTGGGGTGACGAGAGAAGTCACAGACAGATCTGTTATGTCAGAGGATGAGTCAGCAGTCATCTCTCGCAGACGCTCGCCCCATTATACTTCCTGTTGCAGTTTTCTTAAACTGACTCGAGTACATCTTTATTCACTTCAATTGTCCCCGACTCTTTCATCTCATAGCTCATCTATCTTCTTCTGCAAGTACACAGTACAGTCACCCACATGAGAGGGCCCATCTGTCTACATGCCCATCTATTAACTGCTGATCTACGCAGACACCTCTGCAGTCTCACTGGCTTCAGTCAATGCAAGAGAAAGCAAAAAATAAATAAAAAAATTAATTAATTAAAGTGAAAATATGAAATGAGTGCTCTCCTTCAAGTTAAATCTGTGGATTTGTCTTTTTAAAAGACGGGACAACCGGCCTGTTTGAACAACAGTGAATACCCTAACGTGTCTATTAAAAATAAAGACAAAGTGTCACCTTTATTTGCAAACCACACCCACAGAATGTTGTTTGGCATGGCTTTTTATAGGCACACCAAGGGACTCTTTAAAGTGTTATGACCGGGGCTTTCAAATTCACACTAAGTTGGTAAAAATGAGAGAAGTTAATCATTTGGCATGAACAAGAAGTTTAGTAAAGGAGATGGAGATACCAGAAAATTTGTTTGACAAGATTAACTTAACTTCACAAAAGTGATGTAGTTACTGAACTTTATGCTTTAATGTGTATTTCCCACCCAGTTGGCAGGTGGTTACCTGCTAACAGAAGAGAGAAAACTGTCACTGTGGCTAAACCTGAACCAAACCACATATGAGTCTGGGCTTTTAGGAAAGGGCAAAAGAGTACTGCTGTAAAGAAAAAGGGTGTGCTCCAACACTACGGCAAAAAGAAAAGAAAAAAAGAGAGCTTTGTAGCTCAAACGCAAAAAAGTTACACACTGACAACTCACTGCTTGATTTCTGATTAAACTATTTATTTATAACTATTCATTATATTAAAATATACTACAGTAGAATACAAACTATTGCAGATCAGGAACATTTAAAACAAATCCTGAGTTGAGGCGATGAACAAGATGTTTATAGTAACTAGTAATTATGGGCATTACCAAAGGTGTGTGTGTGTGTGCATGCGTGCGTGCATGCGTGTGTGTGTGTGTGTGTCAGTGGAAAAGGAGTATCTGACCCCCTGTTGAAAGTTTCAGTGGCCCTCTGTCTAAAATTATCAGCTAGGACAAAGAGGAGTCCACTTACACACCCTGTAACCTGATGACACACACACACACACACACACACACACACACACACACACACACAAGTGCTCACAGCCCCTGAGATAAAAATAGCACACTGTGGATGACCGGAAATGAAAGGACGTATGGAGGCCGGACATATGCCGCATAAAACAGCGACCACACACAAATACCAGCGAAGTCTAACTGATTAAAGGACCTCGTTATTTAAGGCCTCATTTTTACACTTTTACTCCTCGTTGCTCACAAAGTTCTCCACTCAGCTCTGAGGGCACTGCAACACAGTAAGTCCATTAGAGGAAGTAGCACATGCAGCGAGACTGAGCAAACCCAGAGTTTTACTGGAACTGCTTATTCAGAAGTGAAACGAAAGGCAGAAAGTGAATATGCAAACATTTATCAGGTTTAAACAAGTTTGTGTTTCATTTTGTCTGCTGAGGTCGGACACACATTTGTTTAGGGACAATGGTGCGTTTGATGCTTGCCGAAACCAATTTTAAAAATCAACAAGAAACGAGAAATGAAAACGAAAAATGTTTCATTTTCTGCTGATTCACGTTTGACCCACTGCACCTATTAAATGAGTAAACAGGGTTTCTAATAAACTGGAAGTCAGACATATTGCTGGTGTTCACCACCCCTCATTTCTCAATGTTTTGTGAAGAAAATGGGTGTAGTGCAACCGTGAATGGAAATACAGCGGAAGGCAAAGACTGTTTGTACAATCACTTTAAAGTCAGTATTTTGTGTAACCACCTTTATTCTTCAACACAGCCGAAACTCTGAGGCCGATTTCCTGTAATTTCCTTAAGTAGTCTTCAGGAATAGTTCTCCAATAGTCCTTCTTCCTGAAGGACAATGAAAAGTTCTTATTTGGATGTTGGTTGCTGTTTGATGATCCCACACTTCTTCATTAATGTTGAGGTCTGGGTTCTGGGGAGGCCAGTCCATGACTGATTATGTTCCACTGTCTGGTTTTCTATCCAGGTATGCTTTTACTGTATGGTATTGCATCAAAATCTAACAGTACTCTTCTATGCTCTGTAGGGAAAACAAATATTATGCTAACTATGCCAAAACACTAAAATTTTACATAATTTAATGCCTGTCAAACATTGGCATTTTTCAAAGATGGTTGGAGTGGAATGAAAAGCAGTGAAAAAGCAGTCACTGCTTGCTGTAAAGTGCTATTCCTCAAGACCACTTTACAAAATTGCAAGGAGGTCTGGCTCCTTGGAAACTAAATATAAAGACTTTTGTACAGTAGTGTTCACCTGCACATTTGGACAATTGTGTTCATATTTCTCTGAGCCAGAAACACAGACAAAGGAAATCTTTCCTAAGCAATGCAACAACTTTCTGCAATGCAATGCATCATCTGAGAGCAAATGACCATCAGTTAACATTTCAGCCCTGTACACTACTTTAAACTGTGCATACTGAGCCATTATAATGTCACCTTAGTTTTTAAATTAACTTTGTTACTTTTTACTAAAATTATTAACATATCTTCCTTCATATAAAACTTTTTACATGAAGTGTTGTATTTTATTCAAATTTGTACTTAAACGGACTGTTATTACATTGAAGACTTGTGCTGTTTGCTAATTTTACTCTATGATTTTCTACTTAATTGAGCCATTTTCTGGGATGGATGTGCCACATATACTTTTTATGTAGACAGACCTGCACTAAACAAGATGACACAGAAAAAAAAACAAGACAGAGGGAAACACCAAAAAACAGAAGCGAGGATAAAAATGAAAGTAAGCTCGAAAAGTAAATTCCTGAAAGAATTTCCAGAACAGCAAATACATTAAAACAGGAACCCAAAACTCAAATACACAGCACTCTAGCACCATGAGCTCTTTCTTTAATAAATGCTGCTGTTTCTGACGTTAGCGAGTATCGCTATCACAGATGACAGCCAAAACCAGGAAAATCAGATCCTTCAGAGAGACACAAACACATTTAACCCTGCCGCTTACTGCCGAGGATTATTGTAAACTGATTATGAGTAGTGTGTGTGTGTGTGTGTGTGTGTGTGTGTGTGTGTGTGTGTGTGTGTGT